TCCTAAAAGTATAGTTTAAAATGACAATCATTAGATTTAATATTATTAATAAACTTTTTAATTTATTTTAAAAAATGCGATGTATCAGAAGTGATGATACGGCTTATAAACATTTATAATCTTTAAACCTGTTTTTGGTTTTCCATATTAACAAATAACATTTCTTTCAAGTATCATCAAGGTTACCAAACGCAAAACAAAATTACCTTGAAATAATTATTACGAAATTACATACTACAAAAGCTAGATTAGATTATTTCAGATACAATTAAAAGATGATGTTGTTGTACCCTAACCCTAATGAAACTCCGTGTTTAAATTTTGATCTGATGCAAAATTTTAATCTACAATGATAAAGTAAATGAAGAGAGTGAAGAGAGTGAAGAGAATGACGATACGTGGTGTGGATTGTATGTGGATAATTCATCTATTACAGATCCAAAATTATACATCAAACTTAAATACATTTTATTTTATATTATTTTAAAAAATATAGTATAGTCAAAAAAGCCAGGACTCATATCATAAATAATAGTAAGTAATTATGTTCATTATGTATCTGACAAAATTTAGAATAGTTAAAAGATGAAAATTGCAATATATTTTATAAGGCTGTTTCAAAATAAATTATTAATCATATGTTGAGCAAATGCCTCTCTGATATTCTTTTGGTTTTAGTCTAATGAAAGATTAATATTATTTTCATTTCATTAATCATCTTTTTTTATTTATGAATTTGATTTACACATCAAGTAGCAGTCCGTTTTAATCTCATAAAATTCGATAACATCAAGTATGTTAATAAACATTCTTAACGATTTATAAAAAAAAAAAAACTTTTTTAAAATAGAAACTGATGATGCTTACTATTTTTTTATTTTTCAAGATTATTAATAGTATGTATTAATTTTTATTAAAATTTCAAGTTATATTCCTATTATTACTACCGATTAAGAGATATTATCAAATGTATAGGTTTAGCTCCGATAGTTAATAATTATCTTATTCACGCGAACGTGTTACGGAACAGAATAATTTTACGATCGTTTGATATTTAAAATGCAAACGAAGCAAAAAATTATACGTAATGTTAGGCAAAAAAAAAAAGAAAAAGGAATATTTCGTCAAATTAATCTAGTCCATGTAGAACATTCATTTACTCTGATATTTTATTAGATAAATGCATTATTAAGATTTACTAAAATACGTGGGTCTATTACAAAATACCCGACAACAACTTACAAAGACCCAATTTTGTATCAGAGGAACTATGTCGCGAGAAATGCATATACATGCCTTGCACTTATAATAAGCAGTCAAGGAATTTTCTTAGGGTATTTGCATAGGAGACATTGAAAAAGGGTATTTTAGTCAATACACTATGGTACATAGTGCATTAAATAAAGGTAGCATGAAATAAAAATTAATTTTTACAACATTAAAAAATTGTCTTGTGATTTAAAAATCTAAATTTATCATATCGCGTAAAAAAATATATATATAGACATATAAATATACTGCGTGTTACTGGACTTAATACTTGTTGAACCTCCCAAAACTGATCCTGTCAAAACTAATCAAAAAATTTTATTTTTATATATATAAAAATTGATAAACTATAAACTTCTCAAAATCTGATCAAAATCTAGGCAACCATGCATATCGGTTTAGGGAGAATTCGCCGACAGCCAATTTCACCGACAATAAATCTGTAGCAACACTAGCTATAAAATTGCTGTCGGTGAAAAGGTTCGGCGAAATTGATTAATAACGTTTAGCCGTTTAGGGAGGGCCAACAATTATTTAATTTTATAAAATAAGCATACCTTAGTGTATAGTTGGATATCAAATTTAAAGGGTCTACTTCCGAAATTCGCCTCTATCCGAGAATTTAAACTTTTCATTCCTACAACTGGGTATAATTTTTCGAATGTATTTGAAGAACAGGCGAATCCTAATTTTTTATGAAATTAATAAATATTTTATTATCGTAAAAATTTATTTAAGAATCTTCAAATTACCTAAATTAACACCGTTTTTAGTAAAAAATATTGTCCATGAATAAAAATTTATGCAACAACCAATTGTGTCGCCGGTCGTAAAAGTTGGTCCATATTTGATTCCATGTCCATATTCAAGATACTTCTTGCCATTGTCACCGTGATAGCCTACTGAACCTGGGTCCCATCCTAATAAATAAATTTAAAATACATTAAGTTACAGTAAGTTATAAGACAATTTGTCATAGAGAAAATTCCTTTACTAATACAAACCTGCTTGTCTGCTAAGACTAGGATTTAACGTTGAGACACCGATTGATATTATACTGATAAAAAAAAAAATTTTTTTCTTTACATAAAAAAAATTTAAAATTCAATTATACATATTAGTGATAAAATTTTTAAATCATACTTATCATCTCCACCTTCTAGAATGTCAATCTCAAAATAATAAATTCCAGTTTCTTTTGGGATACAATTATTTGCTCTAACTGCTGCAGACCTATGTTCTCCTTTTTTTCGATAGAGATTTAGATTCAAAATATAATTATGTAAAATTTTATTTCCTATAACAATTACCATTATATTTAATCGAAAGTAAATTGCCTTCAATGTTTAGGTCTCTAGAACAATCGTTTACATTCCAATATGTAGGTATCTGAATTGGATATTTTGCTATACTATTATATATATCTAACGAAGAATCTCTTAAATAATCTGGAAGAAATGGAGGTGGATCAGATTTTTTGTTTTTTTTTCCTTTGCCGCCTACGATTCGAAATTTGGGCATTGCTTTTGATGCAAACGAATTTGTGATTAAAAAAATCAATTTTTTACGGTAATTATTGTCAATTATATAGCTATAAACCTCAAGATCGTGTAACGTAGCGGTAAAATCAGGTCTAATTTTGGGGTTATATTTTCTACACTTCCAGTAACGGTAACTTCCAGTAAAATAGCAGTATAATATATAGATCGGAATCGGTCTTACAATTCCGATTTATAATAATATGAAATCGGCTGTAATATGCCAATCCGGTTGTGAAACTCAGATAACCCAGTTTTTAAATTTTATTCACGATTTAAAAATTATTATTAATTGATAGCGATAGGTAAATTATATAAAACGATTTTATACAGTACGTATTAATATAGTTATTTGGCATACTGATATGTAAGATCAACATGTAATATAATAAAATTTATTAGAATATTTTGAATATTTTCCATTTATGAATATAATTATATTAACGTTAAATTCTAATCAGGTAATAAATTTTTTTTAGCTTCATCAGAATCAATTACATAGGGGTTTTCCAAAGGTATACCAAGCTCAAAATCATCTTGCAAGCTTCTATAACTTAGTTTAAGTTCATTATTATTGTTATAGAAATCTAGGTAAAATAAGGGCTATAAAATCTGGTCTGAAAGATTTAATATTATATTTAAATATCAGAAAAATAAGGATATAACTTACTATCATCCTCTGAAAGATTGTCAAATTCTATTAAAGGAAGCTCATATCGCCCAGTGTCATATGCTGAAAAATGTGTATATAAAATTTGTAAGTACATAAATTGTAAAGTGTTTAAATTGTAAACAATTACCTTCTTGTTCTTCTAAATATATATATTAAAAAAATATTAGAAATTTAAATTTAATTTTTATTTTATTTTTATACCTTTTGTCGCATCTCTTGTCTTCATAAAATTATTAAATTTATGTAGTTGACTTTTGATAATACTCGAATTAAAAGTTGAGCTTTGTATTGCAACAAAAGAATCGTTAGAATTTTTCATCGTTTCTTTGATTTTTCCATAAAAATACTCTACAATATTAAGAATACTAGGACGATCATTTGGATTCGATTTCCAACAATCGCACATTAATCGCAAATAAGATTCTGGAATTCCTTTTGGAATAGTCGGACGAATTCCAAATAGTATATGCTATTAGTACACTGATGCCGTGTGAACAAATTCCTGATCCTCATTGGTTGAATTAATATTATCAGTTATAATTCGTTATATTAACTTCATAGCAGATATAAAAAGAGGAATTGTTAAATAATGAAATAAAATTTTCGTAATCAATAAAAAGAAAAAATAATAGTTATAGAATAAATTTCAAATGTCAAACACATTTAATGTTTTTTCACGTTTCATTTTTCAAAAGGATTCAAATTCCATGCAACAAGAATGTCGACGTGACCTTATAAAACGTATATTATTCGAAGCTCAATCTAATGCAATAGGTAATAGCCTAATCGAATCACATCAAGATGAAGTTCGTTATATTGATGTAAATCAATTTTTAACGGAGAAAGAAAAAGCACATGCAAAGAAGATCATTAACTTTAATAAAGATGTTGAAAATCTTCTCTTTGAAAAAGGACCAAAATATAAACATGAGAAGTGTGGTCGTTTCGGCTTCACTACTTCGTTTTGCGAAAACTGTGCTCGTGATTGTCTAATTGATGATTTTAAAAATTGGACCTCAGGAAATCCAATTGTTGATCGGGCTATTCAAAATGCACAAATTGATTGTCCTATACCACGTAGAATCATTGAATGGATCCCTTATAATGACCTTTATGATATTAAATTTAAAACTCGTGGTGGCTGCGCATCGATTTACACCGCTATTTGGGAAAAAGGTTATATTCTATCATTTGATAACGACCAAAAATGTTTCAAAAGATATGGTGCCGAAAATGTCATACTTAAAAGGTTAAATAATTCTTCTAATACAGATGAAAGATTTTTGAATGAGGTAAAAAACT